ATCATTCATATGTATGTATACACATAATACATGTATATATTTGTGTACATACAATGCATATACACATATCTATTTACAATTTTTAAAAAAGTTATTTCAAACATGAAATAAAAACAGAATATCATAATAGAGAAACAGCCAGAGATAAACATGTGTATTTCTTGTATATTCAAGATAAAGTAACTAAAAAAAATTCTTTTTAAAAAGTTAGAGCTGAAAACCATGATTAAGCTTCTCATAATAAATAGAAAAGATGAAGTGATGGAATAAATAAGGGGTGAGATAAGAAAATTAGAGAATAAGTCCAGAGGTTCCAAGTATCCAGTAATGAAATTTTCAGAAAGAAAATGCAGAGCAAGAATTCAAAGAAACTATACATAAGATTCAAATAACCAAAGGACACAAGTAGCCAGATCAAGTGCCAGACACAATAAATGAAAAAATGTCACCCATATGCATCATCATTCAGGCTCACACATTGAGAATAAAAAGATCCTAAATCTTTTAGAAGGAAAAAATGTGAAATATCAGAAATAAAAGTGGCAATATTTGAAACTAGAACAAAATGGAGAAATAGCATAACCTTTGGATTGAATATGATTTCATGCTGGAATTGTGTATTCAAACTGTCAGTCAACTGTTTAGATAAAATAATGACATTTCCACACAGGCAATATTACCAAAATTTCACCTTGTGTACCTATTTCTAAGTAATATTCTGGAGGAACAGGTAGTAAACCCAGAAACATGAAGGTAAAATGAATTTTAAAAATCAAGGAAGCGCCCCAGGACTGGCATACACTTCCAGGGTCTGCAGCAGGCTGGGCAGAAACCTGGCCAGAGAAACCAGGACGTGGAGCTCCAGGAAGGTGCCTCAAGGAAAAGTAATTCAACGTGTGAACTTTCTTTAACCAGGTGCAAAATTGTAGTGAAAAGGTATTTGCAGGTTAGGAAGAATATTGACTTCTATAGAAAATTAATCACATTTAGAAATGAGAAAATAATTAGCCAAAGCAGGAAAGGTTGAAATGAAAGAGAAAGCAATCATAATACAGCACTCTCAACTTATGTGGACTGTAGTTTAACAAAAAAGGAGTATGCCCTTTCAAGTCAGTTTCAGCCAAAGTCTCATAAACTTTCTGGACAACAGAAATGCAGACAAGGTCTATAGTCAGAAATAAGAGCAGCTAACGTGAATGCCTGGAGACCTAGATTCAAACATGCACCAATCTGTGTGTATGAATTTCAGAATATTTTAAGTGAAAGTAGCAAGGTATAATTTCATATTTATGAAATTAAAATAAAATTTTACATACTCTTTTATAGTATAATAATGATGATACTTCATACTTTTAATCAGACAATCTGAAGCACTTTATAAACATTAGCAAATTAAGTCTCACAATACCCCATGCAGTAGTTAAGAATAATCATTCATTATATACTCAATAGTTAAAATGAGACATCAAGAGATTAAGTGATTTATTTCAAGATCATACATTCCCTGAGTTCTAGAGAGAATATTCAGCTACAATTTTCCCTCTTTTGCTATAGCTCTCAATATTCTCTTGCCATTTGTATCATTATAGAGAAGATGCTATACTCTCTATTTCATGTAATTATCTAGGTGCAAGGTCACCTGCTCATCTTACTGCTTTATTTGTGAAGTTTCCATACCTCCCCATTGGTAGGATACAAGATAAACACACTTCTTACCAATTTCTCCTCTAGAGTAGTTTTTCAGTGTATTTCTTAATATAAGTTTTTCCCACATAAGCATATCACCAGGATAGAAATCTACATTTAGCCATTTCTGCTTTGAAAAATCCATTCAACATTTATTAACCCAATATTTATTAAGTGATTTTCTGTGCCAAGCCCAGCCGACTGGATTCTTACCATCACAGGTCTTAGTGTCTACTAGGAAAGAAAGAATATTTTTAAAAGCAATTATAGTCAAGTCGGCCAAGAGCTACGAAGAGGTAGTATAATACCAAACAACTAGGAAAACCATACCTAGATTAGAAGTTACTGCATAATAGTCTTCCTAAAGCAAATGACTTCAAAGCTGAGGTCTGCAAGATGAATAAAAATTAGCCAAGCCAAAGCAGACAAGAGAGCTCCAGTTAGAAGGGAATACTCACGTAGCAGCCCAGAGATGAAAGATCCTGCTGTGTTCAAGAAGTTGAAAGATACTCAGAGCAACTGGAAACAGAATGAACTTGAGAAGAAGTGGATGGAAACAAGGCTGTAGAAATGGAGATAACAGCATGTTAAGACATGTTAAGGAATTTAGATTTTTCTAAAAGCAATGGGCACCTCTGAATGATTTTAGGCAAGAGGTCATGTTTGTGTTATGAAGCACCATTCTGGCTGCTGCATGGGTACAATGGGTTAGAAATGTGCATACTGGTGGCAATTAAGTGCCCCTACTGTGCTCTGGGCTAGAAATAATGGTAGTCTTTACTTCTGTGAAAGAGAGTAAAATGACAGTGGAGAAAAAGAAAATATATTCAAGAGATATAAAGAAATTGAATCAAGAGTGATTGATTAAATATGAGGATAAAAGAGAAAAGAGAGGCTCAGAAAATTTTCAATTATTCCCAACAGAATAAAAGACTACAGAAGAAAAAAGAAGCTTCTATCTTTGTCTGTGAAACAGAAGTTAGTTCTGTGAAGTTCAGAAAACAGGAAGAAATTGAAATGCTACACAAAACACTAAAGATGAAAGAGGGGTATTGGAGTTAAATATTTAAGGGTTTGACATTATTTGGGGGAAGAATAGAATGGGAATGAATGACTTTGGACTTAAGCGTACATGTTAAAATGTAAGGAGAAGCATTAAAATAGTTGAAACATAGTGATTAACTTTCAAACCACAACTGATAAATATGTAATCAAAACTGTTAATTTTTCTTACACTGTAATCAATGAATAGAGACTATACAATTGTTTTCAAGTCTACTTAGAACATTCATAAAAATTGGCCATCTGCTATGTAAACTCAACAGGATACTCACAATGAATTCAAAGAAAGAGCAGAGTAAGCTCAACATTGAAGAAAGAGTCCATAACATTTCAGATAAAAAAAATTCAAAAAGTAAAAAACAGCCAAAGAAAAACCAATAAAATAATTATTAAAACTAAAAGATGTTTCTTTGAATATTTGTAAAATACGTATTTTTAAAAATGCTAGTAAGATTGATTCAGAAAAAGGGAGAAAAGTCACATTAACAATAATTGTGTACATACCTCTATACTTTGCTTTGCTTTAAGAAAGATGAGGTCCCTTGGAATTCTTTTGTGATGTGGCTTTGAAGTTGTTTTGCATCGTTTTTGCTGGCCTCAGACAAGGTGAAGGAGAGTGTCTCTCTAGTGTTTATTTTCTTGTTGTAGGAAGCATAATATTGGCTCACCTTGCCTTTCAATCCACAACCCATCCTTCAACAGATACAGGAAATAATTAGGTTTATACGGTAGAAGTACAAATGAACTATACTGCCACTGTCTGGGTACCCAAGAATAAATGAATGTCTTTTTTAAAAAAAAAAAAAAAAAAAAAAAAGACCTGACACAACAGGTTAAGAAATCTGAGCAGTATCCCAGATTATAAAGGCGTGCCAGAACATACCAGAGGGTTCTGATTACATTACCCTTTCTTGCACAAACCTCAATTCCTTCTCTTCTCATAAAACACTGCACAGAGGAAAGAGTATCACTGTTCAGACACCTACATGAACTGCTTTAGTTTCTCTCACCTTTTCCAAAGTTACAGGCAAAAACCCGTAGCATCTTTATAGTACCCCTCTCAGTCTTTTTTGTTGTTATCTTCCCAACTTTCTATTTTTCTGCTTCAAAGAATTTGTAACACAGATGCTGAGAAAGAAGGATAAAACTCCACTGGCATATGTGAGGTGATATTAGGGCAGAGGTCAGCAACATTTTCTGGAAAGAAACTTGTTTGTAAATACCTTAGTCTTTGCATGTCATATAGTCTTTATTGTAACTACTCAACTCTGCCGTTGTAGTGCAAAAGCAGCTTTGGACAATATGTAAACAAATTGGGGTGGCTGTGTTCCAATAAAATTTTATTTACGAAAACAGGTGGTGAGACAGATTTGGCCCAGAGGCCCTAGTGTGCCCGCTCCTGTATTCGAGGCATCTCAAAAGTCCTCCAGTTTTTAGAAAACAAAAATATCTTTTTCTTCACAATTTCCGAGATCTACATTTTCTTTATCAAAGACGAAAATTTTTATTTCAAAATTATGGATAATATTTGAATTGCTAACACTCACAGTAAGGGATGTGTGACTAATAGCCAAATTTTTCCTGAAAGACGGCTTCTGTATTCAAGAGGACTATACCCCTGAGTGGGGGGAACGGACTCCTAAATGGTGCAACACCACTCAGATAGGGGAGGTTCAAGAGCCCTGAAGTCCAAGTAGTGCATACTTAGGTCAAAACTCATGTAAGTGATGCATAATGGATAAAGGATCTTATCAAAATAAAATCTAAGGGCCAAGAATTCGTAATTGCAGCCTCCTATCTTTTCAGCTTACTCCCATGAGTATCCACTTCTTATGAATCTTTTTTTTTTTTTTTTTCAATCTTGGGTTTATTCAACACAATTCTTCCACTCTACACAACAAAGTACAAACACAATGTCATCTAAAACGCAACAAAAGTATAAAACTCGGCCGGGCGCGGTGGCTCAAGCCTGTAATCCCAGCACTTTGGGAGGCCGAGGCGGGTGGATCACGAGGTCAGGAGATCGAGACCATCCTGGCTAACACGGTGAAACCCCGTCTCTACTAAAAAATACAAAAAATTAGCCAGGCGAGGTGGCAGGCTCCTGTAGTCCCAGCTACTCGGGAGGGTGAGGCAGGAGAATGGCGTAATCTTGGGAGGCGGAGCTTGCAGTGAGCTGAGATCCGGCCACTGCACTCCAGCTTGGGCGACAGAGCGAGACTCTGTCTCAAAAAAAAAAAAAAAAAGTATAAAACTCAAAGAGAAATTTTATAGTACTGACTGTACAATAAAAGCAAAAAAAAAAAAAAAAAAAAAAAGCAATGTACATGTTGCCAAGATAACCTGAAAGACCACCATGAAGGTCAGGCATGACCATGGTTGCGTGATGATCCCGCAGGGCTGGCTCTCACTCGCCAATTTCAGAGTAGGGTGGTGGGGTGGGATGTGTGCATGGATGCACGGACAGACAGAACCGTGCACAGAAACTACCATGGGTGAAAGAATTTTTGGGGGGGTGTGACCCTTGAAGTCGCAAGAGGCCTCGAGAGGCCCGGCCTAACAGAGTTGGCAACTGGGACGGCTCCCTTTCCAAAAGGACACTGCCCAGCAACAGCAAGGGCACGGTTTGGCCACCATCTCAGGTCACCAGGGAAGGGAAAAGTGTGCTCCCAGGCAGGCAGGGTCACACCACCCCCAGAGCCTCACTTGTCCCTGGTGGTCCTGCCACTGAACTGACTCTTAGAAACTGCAAACGGGTGAGCTTTCTAGCCAGAAAACCGGAGGGAATCTTGACAGGCACACAACACCCAAATCAAAAGCACTTCTGCAGCCAGAGCCCGGCCGGCAGAGGGGTGCTGACTGCTGCCTGCAAATTCCGCCCGAGTGAAGGGTTTGCTTTCCTACTGATCTTCCTTTGGCTAGAAAAGTGATAAAACTGAGCTGGGTGGCGTATAAGTTATAGGGGCGAGAGCTTCAGTGGCCTGTTTATCCGGAGGAGTTGGAACTGGAGCGGCTCCTGTGGCGGCGGCGGCCCGGGGAGCATCATCTCCCGCGCACGCGGGACCTGCGCCTCGGGGAGCGGGACTTTCTCCTCATTCGTGGGGGAGACCTGCGCCACGTGGGCGGTGGTGGCAACATTCTCCTGGGAGGGCTGAATCTCCTGAGGGGTGGCCTAGGCCAGGGGGCCAGCACGACAGTGGCAGTGATCTCCTGACCATCGATTTGTCCTCCATCCACGTGCTTCAGCGCCTTGTCAGCTTCATCTGGATTCTCAAACTCTACGTATGCATAGCCTTTGGACAGATGGGGATGCATCCTTTCCACGGGCATGTCAATCATTTTAATTTTCCCATAGGTGGAAAATATCTCCATGATGTGATCCTTTGTCACATTCCTGGTGAGTCTCCCAATATGCACTTTGGTGGGCTTAGGAGATGGGCTCCGCCTTTTCCTCTCCTTTTCATCTCTTTCAGGTGGTTTGGTTTTGGAGCGGGAGCGCCTCCCGTTGTCTTGTCTGCGCCGAGAAGGACTTGGAGAGCCGGAAATGCTGCTGGAGCTGGAGCTGCGGGAGGTGCTGGAGCTTCCTGAGCGGCTGGATGCTGAGGAAGAGCTGGAGCCACTGCTTGAGCCAGTGCTGGTGCTGGAGCCTGAGCTGGAAGTGGAGCTGGACCGAGAACTGTTACTGCTGTTACCACCGGAAGCGCTGCGCCTCTTCCGGGTTTTGTCCCGGCCGCGATCCTTCTCACTCGACTCCTTGATGGCCCCTTTATCTTTTGAGCGATCCTCGGACCTCTCATCTGAACGGTCTTTGCGTTTGGTAGGTGAAGGAGCCCTAGTGCTGGACTTTTTATTTTCTTTGACTCCTAGCAAGCTCTTCTTTTTCACTCCTGATAAATCCATTCTCCCCTTCTGAGGCGTTCAAAGCAGCAATGGCGGCCTCACTTATCTGAACTCCCACTTCTAACTTGATTCTGAGAAACGATCCCTAATCGATTGCAATTTACGCCAAAGAGCAGCGTCTTCCCGCCGCCACCACCACCTCCTGCTTTCCTCAGCCACTGAGGCCGGCGCCGCTCTGACGTTCTTTTATGAATCTTAAAGCCTCACTGAGATGTTCAACCGGTGGAACATAAGTTTTCACTGCATATTACCCTGTCTTGTCCTTACTTCCCTGCTATCTGTTTAAATAACTTGGTCTAACATAATCATCATTATTTTGCATATAACTTTCTCTCCCTTGCCTCCTTCTCCTTACATGTGTGCAGCTGACTAATCTGCTATCCGAGTTAAATCTAACTCCTAACCTATTCTGTGTCTTTATCTAAGTTCCCGATTCTAACAAATCTCACTTTAAATTTTCAACTGCAAACTGAATGGGTTCCCCATCCTGCCCGGTATTCTCCATATTCTTCAGTCAGCTTTTTCTCCTTTCTCTGAGATCCGCTTTTCTTTGTACTCATACCTCTGACACCCTGTATTAGTTTTTCTATGATTAAGTAACAAATTACCACAACTCTAGAGACTAAAAACAACACACATTTATTATCTCACAGTTTTTGTAGTTAAAAACCCAGGTATGGCCTGGCTGAGTTCTCTGGTCAGGATCTTACTGAACTGATATTAGGGTGTTGGCCAGGGCTGCGGTTCTCATGTGAAACTGAGGGCATCTTTCAAGGTCACTGGTGTTGGCAGAATTAATTTCCTTGCAGATGTAAGATGGAGGTTCACATTTTAGTTCTGTCTATTGACCAGGGACCACTTTTAGCTTCTAGAGGCCATACACAGCGTGTTACCATGTGGCCAACATAGGCAGCTCATGACATGAATGCTTATTTTCTTAGAGATCAGCCGGCATACATCACTCTAATTTCTCTTCTATGACAAAATGGGGAGGAAAAAAAATTCTGCTTGTGAAGAGCTAACTACATTAGGTCAGGGTCCACTCCGGACAATCTCCTTTTCGCCCTGTAACAAGAGAATGACAGGAGCAGTATCTCATATTACTGGTTCTACCCATGCTCAAAGAAGAGAGTATTATACAAGAGTAAGCCTCATTGGGGATCATCTGAGAATTCTGTCTACCGCATACTGCTTCCTCACTCTCAGCTGACAACTTTACTTCTTAATTCTTTAATTAAAAAAAAAAAGCACTATAAAAGAAACTTCATTGTTTTACTAGTGAGTCTACCAACATACCTTCATTTAACTCCTGCTATACTTTGCCTTCAGACCTGTAGCTATGGGCAAATTGCTCATTCTCCTACCTAATGGCAAGCCCATCTCCTGTTTATTGAATCTTATTCCAGTTTGCCTACTCAAAGTTTCAGTTATTCTACAATAATTGTCTCTGTTTTCTTCTGTGTCATCTCTTTTATTCCCTCCTTGAATTAAATGATTTCTATCTACATATAAACAGTCAATAATAGAACCATCTAAAACAAAATAGAACCATCTAAAAAAATTTTTGTGGACTCACATTCCCTTCCAAGCATGAGCCCATTTCTCCACTGCCCTTTAGAGCAAAAATCACTATTCTTAATTATCTTAACTTGCTCACCTACCCTTTTCTCTAGAGTTTACTTGAGTTAGGTTCTTCCAACACTTTTAATGAAGGAAATAACAAAATCTGTTTGCCAAATAATCCATCCTCAGCCTTCATCTTACATGAACTCTCAGTAGAATTTGTCACAGTGGATCACTTCCCTCTCCTTGAACCATTTTCACCTCCTGGGTTTCTGAACCCTATTTGTCTTGATTTTCCTCAGTGTGGTTTCTTCAGTATCCTTTGTGAATCTTCCTTCTTGTCCAGATCTCTAAATACTACAGTACTCTTCATGTATCAATTATGTGTTGCTACAATAATGCTGATTGAATACCATTCTAAAACTCAGAGTCAATCATCAATAAACACTTACAGCTCACTTACCTGTGGGGTTTAATTGATCTCTAAGACAGCACTCAGCTGGGCTCACTCATGCACCTGTGGCTGACCCTGTATCTACCATCGCCCTTCTAGGGTCAGAGGGGCTAGCCCAGGCGTATCTTCTCATGGTAAGGGTAAAGTATAAGGAGCATGAGCAGAAATGTACGACCCTCTGCTTGCATCACTTGGCTATGTCAAAGCAAGTTGCAGCTCTAAGCCCAGAGATAGGATGGAAGGGTCCTACAAAACACATGGTAAAGACTGTGTATAGCAGAAGGGATGACAATCTGGGATCTTTAGTGCTACGAATCAGTTACAGTGAGGCTCACTCTTTGTGTCTTTCTTCTTTGTCTATACTAACCATTTAGGTGATTTCATCTAATCCCATTCCCTCAAATATCAACTCAATTGTTGACTTCCAAATATAAATTTAAATCTCCATCTCTGAGCTCTACTCTCAACTCTAGACTAACTTATCTAGTATTTATTTGACAGCTCACTCCAATTGGACATCTGTCTAATAGATACCTATACCTAATATGTATGTCCCAAGCAAACACTTGATTATTCTTCCTTAACCTGCCCCTACATCTGCATTTGTGACATCATCTGCATTTGTGACATCATCTTTACTTACTCAGGCTAAAAAATGTGGAGTTATTCTTGACTTCTCCCTCTAATGTATTTACCAGCAATCTATAAACAAACCCTTTGGCTCTGCTTTCAAAATATATCCCTTATCTGATTATTTCTTACCGGCTCCACTACAATCACCTATCCCAAGCCCCTTCTTCTCTCATCTAATGACAGTCATGCCTATCCAAGCTGCTTCCACTCTTGCCCCACTACAGGTTTTCTTCCACAAATAAATCAATATGTTTTTGTAACACAAAATATATACAACCTCAAGTGGTAACCTTTCATTCACACCCAGAATAAATGGCAAAGTCCAGAAAGACCTACAAAATCCTTTGCAATCTTGACTTGCCCAAACTTTCCAACATTATGTCTGATCCTTCTTTCTCTTACTGATTCCATTTTACCTACAATAATATCCTTATTTCTTTTCTAAATCAGTAAAAATATACTTGAACCTTACAGCCTTTGATTAGAACTCTCCTTTGAGATAAACGCATGAGCTCTTCCCTGCCTTCACTGAGATTTCTATTCAAACGCCACCTCCACAGAGAGATCTTTCTTGTCTGTATGTAGTTATTAAAGATTAATTACAAACCATAATATAATTAAGAGATAATGCACTTATAAACATTCTACTATAAAGACATTTCTATATATTTCTAATGAAATTGCTGGGTTATAAGATGTGTGCATTCTCAGTTTTAGGACAATGCAAATTGCTTTCCAAGTGATCAACAAAGGAATAGATACATGAAGTTTATCCATGCACAGGAATGTCGTTCAGTGTGAGAGTATATGCATTAATGCTATCTGCAGCAACATAGATGAGTCTTAGAAAAGTTATGTTAGGTGAAATGAAGCAATCTTCTAAAGGCTATATATAGTCAGTATTAATTATAATGTGTTAATATAGTTAACAAACAAAACTAAGTAATTTCTTTTAGTAGTACACACATGTATGATAAAGAATGATACATATAAAATCCAGGGTATTTTTTCACTAGTTGAGCTGGGGTAGAAAGCAGGGCAATGGGATGAGTGATGTACAGATAACTTCAATGCTATCAGCCATATTTAGCTCTTAAGCTTTGTGTTGGATTAATGGGGGATTATTTTCTGCTTTATCACATATATATGTTATTCCTACTCTTTTACATATAGCAAGTATAGCATAATAATTTAAAATATATAATTTATAGTCATTGAGTATAGAATTGTGCTAACCTGTCCACATTTAGTTATCAGCTTTTACAACCAATTAATGAATTAAAAAAAAATAAAAAACAAAAGGAAAAAATCAAAGTGAAGGCAGAAGAACCAGAAGTGAGAAGACCTACTCAGTCTTGCTTCACTTTTCTAAACCAAACTTCCATAATTTTTTTTTTTTGATATTAGGTGCAATGCCATCACAGGGCAGAAAACAGGAAGATTTATTTGTAGGATTGTAAAATATGAGCCATATATATAAGAATGAAAGCTTCAGAAAAGTCATTGAACAACAGACTTCATGTTCTCATGTTCTCTTCTCTTTGTTCAAAGCTAAAAGATGGATACTATATTTTGAAATATTTGGCCATATATGGCCAGCAGCTGATATTATGTCTTCTGAAGACATCAGAAAGCAGGGCGTGTTTTTATGCAATTCATGTATACATGGAAGAATGAGTTCTCTGGTATCTTTGGCTCTCTTCTGGTCAAAAAAGTTCTGTGACTTGGAAAGTCCCAGGGCCACATCAGCTTAAAATTAACCTGGTTTTGGGTTTGTGGGTGCTGACCAGCACCAAAAGTGCTGAAATGATAGAGAAAGCCTGATTTGACTACATTTCTTCAGCATTGTGGAGGAAAGGTCCTTGACAGTGTATGAATAAGACTTTCTATTATTATTATTATTATTTTATTACTATTCTTCGTCTCATTTCTCAGCATCAAGGATTTAGCTTAAGAAAGTCTTCAGTTCTTGTGGAATGGCACCTGATTTGCATCTCGACTCAGTGCCACCAGTGCACACTACGTTTCAGCACTGTCAGACTTAGAAGCGACTCTGCTATCTAAGCCATTTTTACATGTCCCTTGGCAGTGATTACGGAACCACACATACAGTACAGCGTAAATTAAACTAAGTGAAAAATTAACTTCCTGAAGAAAAACCACATGCTGTCCTCGTCCAAAATATGTGTTCGCCCTGACCTTTTGGAGGCATCAAGACATCCCAGCCCTTTAACTTCACGAAAATCTCTTCAGATAGCTTACTCCGAGGGCAGATTTATGTCTGGAAAATTTGGAGTTGCTTACCAAAAGGATGAGAGTCATTTATTTTCCTGTTACTGGTCTGCCACATGAATGAGATAACATCAGCTAAAATATTCAGCAGAAGCTATTCCTGGTTTTTTCCCTTTCCCTCTTTGAGACCAGTTACCTATTTAACTCCATCCTGTCAATTAAACCAGAGAAAAAACGCAAAGAACTAATTAGGCAACTGTGTAATTTTAATTAGCTGTT